AATAATGATAGCAATAATAATAGTAATAGTAGTAATAATAGTAATCATGATAGCAATAATAATAATAGTAATAGTAGTAATAATAGTAATAATGATAGCAATAATAATAATAGTAATAGTAATAGGACTAGTAATAGTAATAATAGTAGTATTACTAGTAGAAGGGAGCTCGCAGCAGGGCGGCGCATCCGTTGCTTGATGGGCTCGAGCTCCGCCACCGTGCTGGGCACGGGGACAACGAAGGTCTTGGCCAGATCCCACCAGAGCTCCTCCATGGTTACTATTATTATACGATTATATTGCCAGTATTACTGTTATTACTATGATTACTATAATTCTTATTAATACAATTATTATGCCATTATTACTATTATTACTATGATTACTATTATGACTATTGTTACTATTATTACTATTGGTACTATTGTTATGAATATTATTGGTACTGTTCTTCTTACTACTATTCTATTCGTTTATTAGTACTATTTTCACTACTATTACTGTGATTCTTGCAAGCAAAGGCTTCAGCAGCCCACGCTGTGTACCTCACAGTTACGCCTGACTCAAACCCAAAGAGTTTGACAGGACTTTCAACAAGTTTGTTATTTCTGCCTAAGCTGCGAACTACTCTGAAACCGAACGAGCAACCCTTTTCTTGACTCCTGCTCGACGAAAGATTCGGGGTCCAGGAACTTGAGGGTGGTTCCTTTGAGAGTGAACCATTCAGGTCCCAGCCACATGTTTGGGGCAGGCACAAGACTGTTGTGCGCGATGGAACGCTCAACAACGAGCAGCACAAGGTACAGTAGCGTCGTGAAACTTGGCTGGATGTGCTGGCTGGGCCTTGACGAAAATCCCTGTGGGGGCTGGTGGGATTGATGTGAGTGAGACTGTGCAGGCAGGATTCGTTGCGGATCCATGGTGGCCATGGCTGCTGCAAGACAAAGAACCTACTGTGAGAGACGTCTGCTTGACCTTCGTTGGAACATAGTTTGCCAATGGTACCTTATTGCACCGTTCGGGCGGGAGGATTCGATCGGGCAGTGTACAATGCCAATGACTCGTCCATGACTTATGCAATGTCCCTGTTGTGGGCCCTTCTTGGCAACACATGCTCCATCCGTGAGCCTAAGAAGCTGCCGGCGATGACATGCGATGACATGCGCCATCTTATGCGTATTCGGGAACAAGATCTATAGATAGGACCTGTGGACATGCTTGCAAGTGTGGCACAGAGTGCAGGACCTGGCTGCCCCCAAAAGCGCAAGCATGGCTGGATCCAACTCAGCCAGGACTCCTGCCCATAAGCTTAGCCGACAGAGAAGCTTGCAGCTCCACATTCGCATGTTGCCGTGCCTTTGGTCGTGCCCTGGAAGGTTGCCAAGTGCTTGTGAAAAAGCTGCATCACGGCCTGCTGTGAGCCTACTGTCGTATCGCATGCAACCGCGACTCAAGCTCCCATCTGACTGCTCACCAATGAACGCTTCTTTTTGCAAGTTTTGAAAGCTGCAGCCTCTGTTCTCGGCAGGGACGGATACTTGATGGCAGCCAGCCGGACCATAGCATCACGAAACTGCTTCAAGAGCATGTGTGGCGAGCTGCCGCAAACCTGGCGCGCAGGCAGCCAATAAACCAGTATGGCACGCGTACCCCAGCCCTGAAGTCTTCACTCAGCCGGCAGCACACGGCTAAACGTAACATCAACCTGCACACCGTGCGGAGTTGGATCAACTTTATTGCAAGTGCGGAAGGCTGTCTGATGGCCGGCTAATGGAAAGTGATGCAGCGGCAGATTCATACAACTGTTCCTTGTGGAACCGTCGACCGGCAAGCGCCTTTGCTGGAGTCAGCCGTTCGTCTAGCAGCGCAGCATCCATTGCCTGGGCAGCAAGAGGATCTTGAGGTGGAGAGATCTATAATCCCCAGAGTTTCCATTTTCTTTTCCACTATCCCAATATAACCCCCAATCTATTCCCTATTACAATCCCTATAATCCCCATAGTTTCCATTTTCTTGTCCATTATCCCAATACAACCCCCAATCTTTTCCCTATTATACTATAGTAGTTTCCATTTTCTCTTCCATTATCCCTATATATTCCCTATATAACCCATATAACAATCCTCAAGAACCTCGGCCGCGGTGCCATTCTCGTGAAGCGCGCATTTGTGAGCCTCCCAGGTGGCCCCTTCTCCGAACCCGTCAACATATCCCAGGTTTAGGGTTTAGGGTTTAAGGTTTAGGGTTTAGGGTACCCCCAATAATGGAGAATATCTCAATATACCACCCAATAATGGAGAATAATGGAGAATATCCCCATATACCCTATTATATTGTAGTATAATGTCGCTGGCATCAAGCAATGCCCTGAGCCTTGGCTCCTGCAGAGCGGTAGTGCCCTGACCTTCAGGGCTTCATGCTTTCTAACAGGATCTTTTTTTGTGATAGGCTGCACGAAAAGCCCTAGATCTCAACGGTGCTAAGGTCATGTTCAAAGTCAAGCTGTATAGTCCCCCTTAAGTAGATAGAATATGGCTTTGGGTATATTATATTAGGACCCCCCATATATCCCATATTCTATCTACTTAAGGGGGACTCTAACCCCAATATACCCCATTATAATATAGTAGTTTCCATTTTCTTTTCCATTAGCCCTATATGGCTGTGAATCAAAACCCCGTTTTGTCGCGGGCCCCCCCCCACCCCTGTTACATACCCCTTTGTCGCGGCCTGTTGTTACATACCTTTGTCGCGAATGCTTGGCACAGGTATGCCCTACAAAGGAACCTTGTCGCACAGGTGCTTGTCGCAAGCCAGCAGATTCTGTTACAAACCTATGTCGCGGAATGGCCGCCGAAGCCTGTTACAAACCTCGTGTTTTTGATTCACAGGCATATATTCAAAGTCAACCCTAAACCCTAGACCCTATAAATCCTAAACCCGAAACCCTGAACCCTTTAATCTTCCGAGTCTGAATCCAGTCACCAAGGCTGCCTAGGAATCCTTTTGGGGTTTCCCGAGCCCGTCTATTCAAAGGCTCGTGGCTCTCGGTTTAGGATCTAGGATTTGGGGGTTTCCCAAAATTAGGGGTACCATTTTGGGGATCCCCATAATAAGGACTATAGTATATTAAGGTCTACATTGGGTTCCCCTTGTGTTGGGAAACTACCATTTAGGGTTGTGACCAGTGACCAGTGATAATGCGTCGCCGTTTAATTGAAGGATCCAGTCCCGGTGTTGCTCAAACAGACATTAGCCCACTCCGGCATCCATGTCAATAAAAAATCATAACAAGCATTTTGCTGCTGTTGACCTCTGCTAGACAACAATCTTGGAGCGGCACTGGCGTAGAACTCGAAAATGCACTGCAAGACCTGCTCTCGCATCTAGTTCTTGAAAGCCACAGGATACGAGTATGCGAGTCGGCTTTTCTATTACAATCATTTCTGCTGGCATGGCCATGATGAACCAAACGAGCGACAATCTAGATTAGACTGGGGGGCCTCGCTTTCGGGATAGGGTAACGGTATCGCTTTCTCATGACATTTGCTCGGTGTTCAAGCCCCAGTATTGCTACGACGGCATTTTTATGGAAGCTGGCCGGGGTTTTGTAGCAGCAGCAGCAGCAGCAGCAGCAGCAGGAGTAGGAGTAGGAGTAGGATAGTAGTAGTAGTAGTAGTAGTAGTAGTAGTAGTAGGGCCTTATCGCGTATTTGACGGTGGTGTTTTTGCTAATCGTCGGTTCAAAATCGCTGGCAG